TTCCTTTCTTTTTTTTTGATAACTTTTCTGCTCTATTCACGATAATTTTTTTCCTGTGTAATCCTAGCAGAGCTCATGATAAATTTACAATGCTTCGCGTTGCGAAGGCCACGGCAAACAATAACAATTGCATTTGCTGGCACTCCGTCGACGCAGGAGCAAGGCACATGTTTATGTCCTTCTCCGCCGTACATCTTGTGCCCCTGGAATCCCCGTAACTCCCGGAATCCCCGGAACCCCCGCCGTGGAATCCCCGGGCCTGCTTGGCTCAGGCGAATGTCCTGTTTCTCGTTTTCGCACGTACAATGTGCAGCACTTGCACTCTGCCCCCAGATAATTGCATTGCCCCCGTCCATAAGTGTCTGTTGCCGCCATCTTGGTCCTTCGTCCTTGCTGTTTGCGGAGTTTTGTGTATTTATGAAAACCATTTCCGGGCGGCAATAAAACTCAACACGGTCAACGTCAGCGGCATCTAATCTTGGCCTGGCGGCGCTTCGAGTGCCATTAATTTTGCTTGTTTTTTTCTGTGACATTTTCCGATTATGTGCGGATTTGTGGCACGACGGACGCCCCGATCCACTTTGGATCCAAGGAAAAGTTTGCAATTTACACTTTGGTGGCGGCTGTCCTTGAAAGATTGGCGAGTCTTGGTCTTAACAAGGAAAAACAAATAGGCCACCCGATGACAGGCGATAAGAGCAACCTGCTCCTGTTTTTGTATATGTATTTCGTATATACCATGCAAGTGCCACGCCTCCACGCCCCCCCCTTTCTGGCCGGAAAAGTTCCACCCACTTCTGGATTTGCCTTTTTGTTAATGTTTGCTCAATTTAAAAAGTTTTCTATCGCCATTTGCATTTGCACGCACATTCGCACGTGCTTATGCAACAGCAAAACAATTGGAGAAAGCAGGCTGGGTGGGAGGTGGGCGGAGCATGGGCTGTAGGTGGGTTTTGGGGCGGAGAAAGTGCTCAGCCAGGCGGCAAAGAAACCATTTGCATACGCACAGCGGCTTAGTCTTAAGGGTATTCCAACGAAGATCCTCGGGGGAGGCTAAGGGAAATTGTACTACAAGTCAAAAAGTCACTTGATCATTTTTACTTTTTTAAATATTTAAATTGATAGTGGATTCTTCTTTAGATTGGAAAAAATTTGTTTCTTAGTTATCCCATGAGCAAATTACACAAAATTGTATGTGTGTAAACCTATTTCAATACGCATTAGAGTAAAACTAGTATCGTAAAGGAAAATGTTATATACTATTTAGATTTACAAATTTTTAAAAATGTAAAGGGTGTGAATTTAAAATTTCTGATTGACAGGTTACATGTGAAAGCAAATCTTTATCTGACATATGCAAAGCCATTATTAAAACATAGCAAAGCACTACAACTAGCAAAGCGGCCGCAGTTACATAAATAAATAGATAACACCGTCGCATTTGCATAATATAAATCGCTAAAGTGACCCCTAGTCGATGACCTACGCCCCTGTCTGCGCTCCAGGAATGCGAATGAAAAAATGTTAAGCAAAAAACCGGAATGAAAGAAAAAAAACAGAAAAGTTAGTTTAGTTTTTGTTTTTAATTTGGTAATGCAGCACGGAGCATGGCCTCCAATTGTTAGTCCTGGACAAGGACTTTTTGCTGTTTTCCGACAATTACATTTGATGAAGTTTTACAAATGAGCGAGGCGTGGTCAAGCTGCGGGGGCGGACATTTAGTTAACTTTCGGCCAGCTAAAAATTGAAATTGAATTCCAATTGTCAAATGGAATTGTATATGACCAACAAAAAAGGAGGAGTACCAAAAAACGTGGCGCTCCAAAAATGGCAATTTATTTTTCGACAAAAAAAGATGAGGTAAAAGATAATGGATTGTCTCTCAGAGATTAAGGCAGGAATGTGCATTTTAAAGTCCAGCGGGATTGGAGGGAATAATGAAATACGCTTATATACTTATTATACATAATTAATTTGAGTGCCCTGGAGTGTTAAGGCTTTTTAAATCCTTGCAGAGTGTATTATAATTTCAGAAAAAAGTTAGCAACGCAGTGAAGGTCATATTTCCGACCCTATAAAGTATATATATATTCCTGATCAGCATCACCAGGCGAGCCGATATAACATAGCCATATCCGTCTTTTTTGTCATTTTAACGTTGATATATTTTTTACCCATTTTTATTTTAGTTATTTTATAGTTTCCGACCACTGAAATTGAACTACTAGAGTGCATAACTTTACCATATGTAAGCCGATTTCAAAGTGGCATTTCAGTCAACAAGATATAATAAATGTTTGTTCATTTATGTTTGCGAGAAATATTAATTTTTGCCGCTCAATTTCTCTTGGAGTTTTAATCGTACTCTGATGAGACTTTTCAGCTTATTTATTGACATACTTGACACAATTTGAGTGATACATTAATTCTATCGTCGGAATTAAGAATAATTGAATCAACTTAGCATTCATGTAATCCCATTTGTTATTATTTAATTTCAATATTAATGTTTTTCGATTTAAAAATCTCTGATATAAAAGTCCCTCGGAGAAAATGAGTAAAGAGAAACCAATAAAATGTTTTTTACTTTATTAACTCACATAAAAACCTTCTTAAAATAATTAAATTAACATTAACCTTCTCAATTTTGAGTCAGCGACTAACATTCTTTAAGTTCTTAGTCAATTTGTTTTACATCTATATAATTGTTGATACGCGCAATTGCATCTGGTTGGAGTTGAAACCCAAAATCAATTTGCAGCTAAACTGCCGCATATTATCTTGAATTGGATTGGAAATCAAATTGGCAATTGCCAAGTCCTTCGTTTACAGGTTAACAATTACTGTCCATTCCGGCAGATTAGCCAGATACCAGATCTCCGAGTCGTCATTTTCGTATGCCTGCCTTTGGCAGAGGGAAAATACGAGCTTCGGGGAGCCCTAATCTTTCTGGGCCATCTCCTACATGTTAGGAACCCATGTCTGTGGGGCATCAGTTAATTGATTTGCTTTACGACTTGCGGTTGCAGTCAGTCCTTTTGCAACATATTCCAACATAATATTTTTAATATTGGTGCGCGCTTTGGCTGGCCTCCTTTTGGCAATTGGCCATCAAATTAGCTTTGCTTTTTTGGTCCACTGTGCCACATTTATGAATATCAACGAACCTGTGAGTGCCGATGCGGTTCCAGCCCAGAGTGCCCTCTAAGTGCCTCTATCCCCACTTTTCACTGAGAGAAAATCATTCGGAACTGAATTCGGATTTAATGAGGGGTCAAATGACGATCATAAATTTTTTAATTGTAATTAAATGTATTTAGAGTTTTACGTGGAACTTCTTCCACCTTATTATGACACACTTTTTACAATTTAAACTAAAAGAGTGTCTTTGATTGCTTTTATGTGGAAAGCAGCATTCAAACACATCCCTTTAAGTTAAATAAAATTCAATTCAACTTATCAGAGGCAGAGTTAGAATCGAATTCTGGCATACCCAATTAGTTATGTCTTAAATTCTCATTTGGGAATAAAAAAGTATAAAACGATAAACCATTTTCTATCTGTGTGCTCATAAAGCAGCAAAAATAAAACTGTCGACGATTGGGGGAAAGTGGAAAATACTGGGGGCGAGGAAAAGTGGTCTGAGGCTGAGGAAAAACCAGCAATTGCAACTGCCAACTGCTGCTGCACTGACACAGGAAATATTATCCGCATTGCCAGCATCGAGCGATGAGCAGAAATTGAGGCTGCCAAGGTTTTGGCCTGGCTTTGTTGGTCGTCCTTTTCGGGGAGGGGTTCCTGGGGTCCTGGGGCTGGGTGGTTGGGTGATTGGGTGGTGGGCGGTTGGGCGGCATGAGGACAAAGCGCAAAAGCGGCCAAGTGAATTTTCAAATACAAATTCAAATGGCAAATTGACAAATGAACCTTTTGAGCTTTTTACGTTTTCATTGTCTGACTGTATCTCTTAGTTTGCCAGCGGAACGGATCCATTCTTGTGGGGTGGTTGGGGGCTTTGAGCCATCCAGGAAACCTTAGGGCAAAGCGAATCTGGCCCAAATGTGGTTGGCTACAGTAAGTGCGGTGTAGAAATTAGGCATTTTCCGTTGAGCTAAATTACTTTTATGCTAGAAAGGAGTATTGCACCTAGAGTAAAGTCTATAAAAGTTTACTGAATGTTTTGAAAAATAGACAATTTAAGCTACAATGGTATAAATAATGCGAAAAAGCCCATAAGCTTATCAATATTCAAGGATCTGTTTAGGAGAGTTTCTTTTGAACATCACACTATTGACACTTGTTAGTAAATGGTAACAAATGTTTAAAATATAAATATCAACAATATGAATTATAATTTTATCTTGTGTATAAGTCATTTATTTGATAAAGAAAAGTGTGACTCCAAAGCCATATTTAGTCTAGATGTCTGATTTCAAAATTACTTCCTAGCTTGAAGGGCATTATTTTTCCTTCAATGAATCCCGCTGAGATGAACTTGCCCCCACCTTAAAACTGCTCCTGGTTGGCTTTTTTCCAGTTCAGTCCCGCTCCTTTTCATTCAAAAGAAGTACAAACAAATAACCCGAGGGGGGAGTACAGAAGTAAAAAGCATTCGACAGGCTATTGATGCTGATTTTGTAAAGATGCCGATGCCGATGCCAATGCCGGAGTCGATGCCAATGAAAATGAGAATTAAACTGGGTTGGGCATGCCCTGAGTTTGAGCCTGTGCCCCTGCGGGTTTTGGTTGCTGCTTTGTTGTGCCGTCCAGCTGGACGTACAACAAATTACAAAATGTTGTTGAAAGGCGATTTTAAAGCCCCGGCCACTTGGCACCACCCACACAGACCGCCCACTCTATTCAGGGGCCCAAGCCAAACTCGGTAAACAGAGATTACAAATGGGTGAAGTGTGGGCGCAGTGAGAACAACTAGAACTACACAAGTACAATGGGCATTGTTGGGCCGCTCACGCTAATACCGGATTCTCTTTTACATTTTGCAGATTTAAGAATTCTTAAAAGGATACCAGCAGCAGGAGCAGGAGCAGAAGCGTCGAGAAGGACCAACTTTCCACTCGAAGCGAATTAAAAGAAAAGAACTCAGCCCAACTGGAGGAGGAGCACACAAAACGGCAAAATCAATAGTGCCCAAGAAGTGTGGCCAAAGTGCTGAGTAATGTGGAGTAATGGAGACCTTTTTGCTGGCGGCGGCAACATGATGTGAAACATGGCAATCGAATCAGCCAAAGCCATTTAGGGTCATCAATTGCCAGGGTCGTGGAAAATCGGCAGCAGGAGCTCCGAACGAAGCCATATGCATCGCAGCATGGAGTGCAGGAGGACCAGGACCCCGAAGGCTCTGCCAGGTGAGTTGTCATTCCCAGGCAGCACCTGCCGCGCCGCAAAGGTGGCCAATACAAAGCTGAAATAAATTCAGCCAAGTTCGATTTGTATTTTTTTTGTTATTGGTGACTATGATCCTTTAAATAGTTTAGTTAAAAACTATCTAATTGTTAGCTCGTAAACTGACCAAATAGAAGCACCTTTTAAAGTTTTGATTCTAATTTTAACACAATGGCTTAGTTCCGGTTCAGATCACCAATTATCACCAATATATAAAAACGTAACATCTCTTATAAATACCTAATTAAGATTCCTTAATTTTACCCCTATTTCAGTCTGCTGGATGCTGCTGTGCCTGGTGGCCTGGACTTTGGCAGATGACTGGTCGCTGAGCTGCGCCTCCAACTGCACCTGCAAGTGGACCAACGGCAAGAAGTCGGCCATCTGCAGTTCCCTGCAGCTGACCACCATTCCGAACACCCTAAGCACGGAGCTCCAAGTGCTGGTGCTAAATGACAACCACATACCATATCTCAACCGGGAGGAATTCTTCACCCTGGGTCTGTTGAACCTGCAGCGCATTTACCTCAAGAAGTCCGAGGTGCAGTACATACACAAGGAGTCGTTTCGGAATCTGAAGATCCTGGTGGAGATCGACTTGTCGGACAACAAGCTGGAGATGCTCGACAAGGACACCTTCATGGGAAACGATCGTCTGAGGATACTGTATCTGAATGGGAATCCCCTCAAGCGCCTAGCTGCCTACCAGTTCCCTATTTTGCCCCACCTGCGCACCTTAGACATGCACGACTGCCTGATCTCCTACATTGATCCCATGTCCTTGGCCAATCTCAATCTGCTGGAGTTCCTCAATTTGAAGAACAACCTCCTGGAGAGCCTGAGCGAGTACGTCTTCCAGCACATGGCCAACTTAAAGACGCTCTCCTTGGAGGAGAATCCCTGGCAGTGCAACTGCAAGTTGCGAAAGTTTAGGGGCTGGTATGTTAACAGTCGCCTGAGTTCCGTGAGTCTGGTGTGCAAGGGTCCTCCGGCACAGAAGGATCGTTCCTGGGACAGTGTGGATGATGAGCTCTTTGGCTGTCCACCGAGAGTGGAGATCTTCAACAACGAAGAGGTGCAGAATATTGATGTCGGAAGTAACACCACCTTCAGTTGCCTGGTTTATGGGGATCCCTTGCCGGAGGTCGCCTGGGAACTGAACGGAAAGATCTTGGACAATGACAACGTGCTCTTCGACTCGGAGAGTATCTCCTCGGACAAGTTGTGGAGCAATCTCACCGTACTCAATGTGACTAGCCTGGATGCTGGAACCTACGCCTGCACGGGTTCAAATTCCATCGGCAGTATGACGCAGAACATCAGCATTTACCTGAGCGAAATCGTTCAGCATGTCCTGGAGAAGACACCTGAGACGTTCTGGTACTTCGGCCTTATCATGGGCATCTTCGGAACCGTCTTCCTGCTGATCTCCATCTCGTTTGTGGTCTGTCTGTGCAAACGCACCACCCGGCAGCATCGCCATGCCAACAAGGCGGGTGTGAAGTCCAGCGTGAGTTTCAATGACCAGGAAAAGAAGCTGCTGGACTCGAGTGTCACCACCACCACCAATGATCGAGGTGACAGCTATGGCATCGACAACCAGCCCACATCCATTGGTCTGAACAAGGCGGACTCGGCCGGAATGGGCTTCAACCAGATAGAGATCCATGCGGTGGAGAGTCATCGCCATGGGAGTATGTTGGTGCAGCAGCAGCCGCAACAGCAGCAGGTTGCAGGAGGTCCTGGCATGCGGCAACAGCTGATGCAGGTCAAGGATCCCACCTGCGGCATGATGAGTGTGCCCACATCGATGGCTGGCCATGCCCACTCGCATCCCGCCCAGATTTCCGAAGAGTTTCCCCTAAACGTAGGCGTTTTTCCACCGCCACCAGAGTTCTGCTCGAACATAGTACCGAATCCGGCCTTCGGGGGGAACATATTCATAAGAGTATCCGTTACCCAGGACATGCTGGACGGTGCGGACTTAAACATGTATCCGGATCTGCTGAATATTCCCAAAAGAATGCAGGATGTGCAGGAGACGGGTGCTGGTACAGTGGCCGTTCCAGAGGGTCAGTTTGCTACGTTACCCAGGCACGCAGCCAGGAGGGGTATACTGAAAAAGGACACCTCTTTGCAGCATCAGCAGCAGCAACATCAGCAGCAGCAACTCCAGCAGCAGCAGCAACTGCAACAGCAGCAGCAGCTCCAACAGCAACACCAGCAACTGCAACAGCAACATCAGCAATCCGGACTCTATACTCATGACGAAATCGTGACCTACAACCTGGAGGCCAGTGGCTATGACCCCCACCAGTCCGCGTACCACACCAATGCTCTGGAGCTGCCACCACCGCCGCCGCCGCCCGCCGTCACAGCGGTGGTGCAGTGCCACCACCCGAGTCCCAGCAACTGTGCCACCTGCATCAGCAGCGCGTCGCCGCAGCCCTCCGCCTGCCAAACGCCGCCCATCGAGGTCACGCCCATGCGGCCGCTGGACAGTTCCGCCTACCCCAAGTACGACAACATGGGACGCAGGATCACGGCAAGCGGCGGACTGGGTGGCTCCACCCTCTCCCTGCCCGATGAGGAGCGGTACGAGAACGAGACGCTCTTCGGCCAGGCGGAGGGTCCATCCAAGGGAATGCCCGAGCAGTCGCAGGATCTCCACCAGCCGCAGGAGGCGACTCAAGGCCAGGACAAGGGTGGCGGTCCTGGCGAGTTCGTGTCGCTCTAGTATTACGGTACCCAGGTGTAAATAGGTCAATAGATTCGTGTTCCCCACAACCTCTGGGAAATCCTTGGCAATCGTTTTGTTCATATCAGTTTGAGAAGCGAGTGCCCAAAACGAAAATATGTATATGTAGAACCCCACACAATCTATGGACTGCATCACAGCATCCTGAAACACTAAAAACCAATGAGCAATTCACGCCAAATCAAAAGGGTATATGGACAGGACTGTTTGGGTTTTCATTTTGAAGGATTTTTCAAATTTTAATTGCCGATCCCTCAAAATTCTTTTCACGTATGTATTGTTTATTTATTATTATTATTTGGTATATATTTGAAATTATTTATGGTTTTATATTATTTATGATTTATATTATTATCCTTCATCTTTTTTAAGTGTCATCCAAAAGAAACCAACATATTATTTTCGCTCCTAATATCTTCTTTTAAATTAGGTTTGCTTTAATCTAAGATAAAAATGGATCCCTCATATTTTTCGGTTATTTATTTAAATCAAAATTTGTAAAATTGAAAACCCAATTATTACTGACAGAAAACTCCAATCAAAATCAGAGAATTTAAGAATGTTAAGTTAACAGCGAGGCAAGCAAAGATTACAAATATTTTCCATTCGGATCGCACTCTCAGACTAGATACCGTTAAAGTCAATACTTCTGATATTTATAGTGTACTCCATTAGAGATCTCCATACTGTCCCAATCCTAGTTAGCATTCGATAGTAGTCCACTTGAAGTCTGTAAATTTATAGAGATCGATAGCGATGTATTCTAGAAGGTATAGCGACCAAAACTGATCTTCATAAGGTGTATAAGTATGATTAATCGCATATTATTGGATCCATAGCTGGTCGAGTCTTAGACATATTGCTTCTGGGGTGCTAGAGTTTTCGTGGGAGTATCCATTAACGTTTTAGAGATCAGACACTGAATAGGATTAAAATTAATTTTGGAAGGGATGAGAAGCATAAACTATGATATCTCTAGATATGCATCTATATAAAATGTTAGCCAGATCTTTATGACCCATATACATATATGCCCATATAACCATATTCGATGTGCAGTGGATATATAAATACTTTATCTAGTTTTTAGCCCCGTAAAATAGTTCCTTTCTTGTACATATGTAAATGTTTTCCCAACTGCTTAGGGACTTTTAAATCAAAATAATTTAATGCTAACTAACTAAAAAGGTGAACGTCATGCCAAATGTTTTTAAAGTCTGTTTTAACCTGTTAGCCTCATGCGATTTTTTAGACCTGTTAGAGCTATTTTCGATTATGAAACCGTAGGATTTGCTGAACACTTAGTACCTTTGATTTAGTCAATCTTAAATTTAGACCACATCTTCCGAACATACAGAATACAACACTTTCAGTTTCTCCTCCCAGTTTCCCACTCGAAATCCTGTAAGCTAAATCTAGTACACTATCTTTATAAATATCTGCATATGTTTGTACTTGTGTGTAATCTGAATGTAGAAAGAAATGAAATACAAATACGACCTAAGTGAGGCTATATCGATGTGTATATCTTATATATAGTATATATGTTCAAACATTTATCGATATCTATATAGAGGAGAGAGCACACAAGAACAGAGGCCGCATTAAATGGATTTTTTGTGTCTGTAGAAAGTTTCAAATTCGAGCTTGGTAATGTAAAATGTAAGCTATAGAAGTCAATATAAGTACACAATAAATTCTACTTACATGACCACGCCCACTCACCGCCCCCTCCGCCTGATGAATGTGTGTGTGTGTGTGTGTGCGTAATAATTAAACACATGAATGCAATGAATTACTATAATAATTATGGGAAAGTATGCTGGCAAATATTTGCACAACTTCCATGAGATTTTTACCCCTTCACCCCGTAGTTACCCCTTTTATTTGTTTTATCGCTGTTGCTGTTTAATGTGTGTTGAGTGCCGAGCGAAGGGATTTTTGTATTTTGGTATTATGAACTGAACCAGAGCAAATTTGCACGGCGCACACAAAACACGGCAAACAGAACATTCTAGTTTAAACTGAATTCCCCCGTTTTCCCTGCGTACCTCATTTTTGACAGCGCAGAATGAATGATTCAATCAAAGCATTATTTGTCCGCTCTAATGGACGGGATCTGAATCTGAATCCGAATCTGAATCTGACGGGAGGACCCTGTACATAGGCCATTTTAATTACATCATACTCGCGCGGACAGAGGCAATATTTTATTCATTTTAAATCGTTTTAACTAATTAAAACCAAATGGAAACCGCCAACAGAGCGAGAGCAAAAGACAAGTGTAAACACGCAAATAGAGTAATGGGTAATGAGAGCCCCGACTAGAGGAAATTTAAACTATGCTTTTAACTACGATTCCCATTTCCCACGACCGCCACGCGTTTTTTCCGCACGGAGATGGAAAACGTAACTATGATTTTAATTACTCTGCTCAAACGCAAATGGGAGGCACACACAGATGCAGATACCTAGATGCGAAATGTATCTGCATCCGAGTATCTGCATCTCTGGTCGGAGCATGTGGCATCCATTGAAGGGCCAAAAAAGCGGTTAAATTAACTTTTTATGAGCGCTGCGATGTGCTGCTAAAATAATTAAATTCGAATGATGAATAGTAGTAACAAATTTTGTACAATACCATAAAAAACGCATTGAATATTGCATTTTAACTTGAATTCCATTCGAAAACTGAAATTAGTCAAATCCTACCAGCCACACAGAATCCATCATGAACGTGCACACTTGTATACTCGTATACGCATTTATAAATACAAAACATCCCGACAGGACACGACTACAGTCGTCGACAGGAAACACGGATACGGACTCGGACATGACAGACCGGAATAAACGAACATTTAACAAACAATATAACCGAGAATACATTGTAATAGCATTAATAGATTGTCAAGCTTTATTACACACTATATTAACATAGATGGAATAATAATAATTATTATTATTACAGTAATAATACGAGTAACAGGCGAACACAAAGAGAAATATGAATAAATTTAATAAAACCAAAAACAAAGCCTTTCCATATATGCCTGTTTTTCCAGCTGCAATCGCCTCTTGCCAATGCCATTTACCATTTAGCATACCGTCATTATAGCCGCACAAGAACACACAAACAAGGCCAAACACACGCAAATGGGGAAAAAAGGAAAATCGATTTGATGACATTTCCATAATGGAAAACTTCGCTGCAGTCAAATCAATGTCTCTTCCTGCGCACTTGATGGAAAGTTGTCGCCAAACACTGCAGCCAACTTCCTCAATATCCTAGGCCCTGCTCCCTGCATATATCTCCCGCACTCCCCTCCCAGCCAATCTGCATAATTTGCCATGGGCCCCCGCTTCTATCACTTGTTGATCGTAAACGGTTTTTGGCATATCAAATTTCCGACTTTTGCCATTGCCATTTTGAAATGTTTGCTGGCGATAACCAAACGAACATTCGGAGCATTTCCGCGCCTAATCTCCGCTTCCCAGTGCCACCAGCCATCAGCCACCTTACAAATGCTTCAATAATGACTGCGGAGGAAGTACACTCAGAAAAATCGGCGTCTATAAGAGGGCCTTAATGCCCGAAGTACCGTTTACCGTTCAACTGGAAAATATAACTTCAAGTGACAGAAGAAAATTAAAATTGTATGCCAATCAAATGCAATGGAAGAGGCTTTTCCACTTGAATGGATATTAAAATAAAACTGAATTTACTTGGTTTTTGAATTTTTCGGAGTACATACAAATTGCATAACAAAGACATGCTTTAAATATTAGTAAAGAAATTTAGAATTGGGATCTAATGTTCTGAAATTGTAAAAAAACAATTAGTTGAAACATAAGGATCTACTGAAACTTCCTTAAAAATTAATTGAAGAAGGCTACTTTTTTCTCTCCGTGCCAAAAAGAAGCACCTCTGGCTGTAATAGCATTTTCATCTTAATGCACTCGGAGCCCATTTAGTCAAAAGTTGCCCTTGCGTCTGCGTCAGCAGCCACGTCAGCGTCATCTGCAGCTCAGCTGAGCTCCATCGGTGGCAGCACATCCTGGCCAAAACCACCAAGACCCAGAATCAGACCGAGACCAAGGAGCGGGCCTCGATTCGGGGCCCGTTGGCACCGACTTCGGCTTTGGCTTGCCTGACGTGCGGATACGTGGGCCATGTGCGGACCCTCGAGGGAATCCGATTGCCACGCATCGAGCACGTACGCCGATGTCGACAGCCGCAAACTACTGCGATTTCTAGCAGCGACCTCGCTTTCCCTAGCCCCGCCCCTCGCACTTTGTGGCTTTTCCTGGCAAGGCGCCCGCCCACTCGGAACATACACAGACAGAAAATATGGGTGTACCTTATGGGGGTAAAAAAAACTTATTATCACCGTTGAATGTGGTTCAAGTTTCCGTAAAAAATACTAATACAACATGTACAGTCAGTTGGAATACATGTGTTGATAAAAGGCAACATTGCGTATGAGTCATAATCCTGAATTTTAATGCGCAGACCCCAAAACGCAAGTATTTATTGTATACTATTACTATATCATATTTCTCTTGCTAATCCAATAAGGTTTAAAACAATTTAGTTGGTTGCTTAACTATTTGGTTGGAAAGGGATTTTGAATTTTAATCACCAATTTGCTTGACGTTTAGCAAATCAGTTTAAAGAACAATATTTTTTGCAGTGCAGCTTTCCTTGCCTTGCGTTACGTATGCAACATTCATTTTTGACAAGCATAATTTGCGGCTGGCCCAGCAGCGCAGCCATTGGGACTTTGGCCCGGCTCTCAGTCTTATGTGTTCCAGGTTATTTACAGTTTTCATGGCCCTGCACTTTTCTAATGCAAAAATGATGCACTGCACCCACGCGGCCCACGTTTGCCACCTTCTTTGGGTGGCTGGGTGGCTGGGCGACTGAGGATGTGTGTGGGCCTGCGTGTCTGTGGTCAGAGTCGAGTTGGGGTTGGGAGCATGCAGCGCAGTCAAAACATGCACTTAATGTAGCATCAGCAGGAGCCAGGAGGCCGTAGCCAGGAGGCAGAAGGCCTTTTCTACTTTTGACCGGGCTCCGCAGACGCCACACCGCAGTGGCAATGAAAGTTGGAAACCAATATTTGTGCGGGCCGTGGGCGAAAACCCAGAGGGAAGGCCAGGAGCGGTCCTTGTTTGTTCTGTCCCTAAATGGGAAATCGAGTTTGGCTCGTTTGAATCTGTGAACATTTAGGAATTGGAATGCTCGGGGGAGGAGATGAAAAAGAACGTCCACTATTACTGCATTATTTTGAGGCTATTGGGGCAAGGACGATTGAGGAAAATTAGATTTGAAAGCCAAATGATTAGTATCAACGTTGTGCCACCTTAATTAATTATTTATACTTTAAAGCCTTTTAAAACACAACTCCTTTGAAAATCACTTAAATCACATATATTTAAAAATCTATGGATTTCAGTAAGGCATCTTAACATGCCATAATATTTTATTATTTTTATTAGTTTTAATGGTTTATATGTACAAAAATTAGAAATCTTAAAAGGTGTTTTATAACAGTTTACATTTGGGATGCAAATTAAAATTTTCAAAAAACAAGCATAAACTTTTTTAGCCGATTAAATAAATTTCGGTGTTGGTACGACCTATTTATATCTTATGTAAAATTGTATTCAATTTAGTTCTATAATATTCGATAAAAAATAAGAAAGTCTACAAAAGTTGTATTCAATTGGAAATAAATTAACTCGAGTCCAGGAAACCCCTAAATACTAACTCCGCTCCTGCCTTAGGAACAAAAATAAATCTGTTTGCCAAACAGTTATTGCTCTTGTTTTTGCGCCGCTGCCACAAGCACCTCCTCCTGGTGCTCCTCACTGCGCTCCTCCTCCAAAACTAATGCCAACTTCGGCTCTGCACTCCACTCCGCACCTTTCCGTTCCGTTCCGGCTCCTTGCAATCCGATCCCCCACGCAGCTCGACCCGGCAATATGTGCGCTCATTTTATGCCCTTGCATTTGGCAACGGCTCAATAATTGGTCAGTAGATTGGGAGTGGGCGTTCAAGTGGGTGGGTGTGGGAGTGGGCGGGCCCGGGGTTAAGGATGAGGGTTATGGGCTTGTGACTCAGGTGCCCGCAAAGCTTTCTATAAATTCAAAGTCCATGGCAGTGATTATGCAAGTTGGCTAAGCCGGCGGCCATGAGGATGCACTCGATGCTCTCGATTCTAGAAGTCCTGGAATCCCAGAACTGCCGCCTGCGGCGCGAGATCTGCAAAACGAAATTGAATATGGGTTATAAATGGGACGCATCGCTAGTTTCCTGGACCCCTGCCTCTGTTCCATTTCTATTTCCATCTTCCTTTCCGCCAGAAAAACAAACAATGTCCGGACTGAAGTCCCGGATCCTAACCCCTATGGCTAGCCGAAGTGCTTCCCTATTTATGACTGCCAACGACGATGCTAAACGTATTGCTTTAAATGAATAGATGGGGTACAACAAAATACTTTAGACTAGCATATTTTTATTAAAATTAAATACTACGATGTTCAAGGTAAAGCAGTTTTAAGCCATTCTGAATTTCTATTCTTTCGAATAGTGGATGCCTGCCTTTAGTTGAAATGTATAATGTCGATAAACAAATCATATGCACAGTGAAAGCTGGCAATCCTATAAAAGAAATATTTACTTTTATGAACAATCTAAAATCTAAAATAACCAACTTTATTAAAATCTTGTAGGTAAAACTAACCAGGTATTTGCATCTCTGCCTGCCAAATCAGCTGCGAATGAGCCGGAAAAATCGCAGCCACACGCCCATTGTTCTGCTCTTCTCAGGCAAATCAATACCGCCGCTTAATGGTACATTGCACCTCGGAGAGGCGAAAGGGTGGGCGTGCCCTTTGATCACTGCGCCCTGTCCATATCCCGACCCCTTGTACAGGTGCCCCTACCTGGCCATTGATTAAAGTGGTTCCTTTGCAAATTTATGTTCGGAATATTAACAGAATTGCTCCCCGAGGAAAACTCCCCAGCCACTCTCACTCGAAAAAAAGAAAAACTTTTTCCACAATGTACTCGTGTACTGCTCACACACAAACGGGCAATCATATGAAAAAGGGGCCAAGGCAACTTTTTTAACAGTTTTTTGGATTTTGGAATACAAATTATGTAAGTAATCTCAATTTATTGATATATGGAGATGCATGTTTACACGTGGCCAGCAGCAGCTCGACAATGTCGCTGTTTTGGGATCCGGGAATGGGGTGTATTATAGGTGGGAGCCGAATAGGTTGCTCAGGGGGAGGGGGTTTCAGGCCATGTCTGCCCGAGTGTGACCCTTATGAATGGGCCAACTTTTGTCTTTCTTCGTCGCATTTTATACCCTCGCAGCATTATAATTTGCCATGAATATATGAAAACCGTTTGTAGAAGTTCAACCGTTGTGGGGTCCTTGGGTCACAGTCACAGCCCACCACCCACTTCGCCGGGGATTGTCAGCCTGGGAAATGGTTTATGTAATGGGATTCATAACTTGTTTACCTGCCAGCAGGGTTATATCTAGACGGGGACTGTTGCCAGTTGCCAGAGAAAGTCCAGGTCCAGGTCTCGTCGGCGCAGCCTTTTAATTTTAATTAAACTCCTCGAATTGCCATAAAAGATTTTTCGTGAAGCTGCCCAATGATTTATGGCAGTTTCAAGGTTACTCGCTCCATTATAAATTCATGTAAATGCTTCTGAATTTTTGGTCATAATTTAGCTCATTATTTTCCAAAGCCAAATTAGAGCAGATCATCGCATAAAACCGAACTTAATTACCTGAAATTATGATGCATGCCTAGTCCCACTATCCGCCTGATTTATTTTTATGGCCTCTAGTGTTTTCCACATTAATCCCTTACTAGTAGTAGATTTAGAGCTCTTTATTGCATTACAAGATAATCATTAATTAAAACTTAATAAGTTTTTATTAAAGAATGATTAATGCGAAACATTTGTTCACTTGGCCAATATAATAACTTTATAATTTATTCTACGTTTGAATTGTACATTTTAATTAAAACTGAGTCACGAATTTTTGGAGGGACACTAACTTTAAATTTAGGTGCTGTTTTGGGACAATGAACATTTAAAAATAGCCACGTAAACAAAGACAATAAGAGAAGCAAAACACAAACTTGTAGAGGTTTGTGGTAACGTTGTGGGTACCAAGTACGACGAGTTTCATAGAGAGTTTCTTTAATTAATTCAAATCCAGTTTTAAATAGCAAAGTAATCTTCCAACCAATATGGCCAACTTTTTTGCTTACCCAAGTTACACTCCCAGACAGCGTTGCCAACTGTAGATTGAGAGCGAACAAGGAATTTCGGTATTTTTTTGCATAAAGATGCAGGCACACTTGGCCGTAGAAGAGCGTACATTGGGAAAAATAAACTACAAGGAAACCGTTAATTAAACTAGGAAAGCGCTGTGTTACATCAATTCAGAAAGACGAAAGCGGGATGCACTAAACCCGGAAGTCTCGAGATCCGGTTTCTGGAGGCGGCGGACTTGGTGTCACCCAGGACTTGGTGGCGGAGATTTTCCGCTTGCAACCGAGAGAAATTGGTGAGCACAAGGGAATTCTCTTGGCCTTTCCCCACTTCCCCCTTCTCGCTCACAAATTGAGCATGCAGAATAAATAACACAGAAACACAGAATTTATCGACTGCACATTTTTTGCAGATACCCCGGCAAAAGAATCTCGCCCAGAAAACGATCGTCCCGAAATAAATCGTATTAGTTCCTGTTCCGGCTTGGAAAATGACAGCGGAAGAGTGGCCACAGTAAGGCCTCCCTAGCGTGTATTTCGCAGGTGGGTAATATTAAATGGACATGGAAATGTAAATGGCCAGGAAGTGAGAAGATAAACACGCTGCAAACACTCGCTGAAGTTGTGCAAGTGACGCAAAAAAAACGGCAAACAAAAACACGCACGATATCGTGACACTTTGCATTTATACATAGACTTGCCATTTGGCGAATTCGTCACATTTCGCACACTTCAGCGAGTATGGTTGCTATGGTATATCATCATATTGCGGTTTTTGAATCCACCCACCTGATTTTATGTACAAACAACTCTGCCTCTCAAACTCTTTAGTTTCTAAATCTCTTTATAGTTTATTAATTGTATTATTTAAGTAAGCTTCAACACTTCATCAACAGAATCTCTCCTTTTCAGTTATTTTTTTCAACGAATCATGTTTTATTTAAACACAGCTTACGTGAGTTATGGCATTTTCAATTTTTCATATAATCTGCTTAATCTTTGCATGTTCTTGTTATTTTTAAGTACTTAAAATATAACACAAGGATACAGCGTAGTTTACTTCCGAAATTTTTTTTTATAGTTTTGAATCTGCAATAGCTCAAAAAGTATTAAAAATAAGTAAGTCAATCTAAAGTTAATAGAGCAACAAAACATATCTGAATATAAATTTAAAATGGGCATTTATTTAAAATTTTATTTTTTCCAAAATGTACTTGTGGCTAGCCAGTTCTAAACCAATTTGGCTTATAAAGTAACTCCTTTTCAGTCTTTCGCAGAGCATGGAAAGCACGGATAGTAGTGACAGCAGTGGGGACAGTTTAAAATCCATTCCCCGACCGGACTTCGAGGCCTTATCCGCCATCGACAGCCCCCAACCGCAGTTGCAGTTCCAGAGCTCCTCGCTGGATGAGCACATCGAGATGGAGTCGGTTACCGTGCCCAGCAAGCGCCAAAAGTACGTGGTCAGTGCCCCTCCGGGATCGGCCAACGGCAGCAGCCCATCCTCGAGCTCGAGTCCCTCGAACGTCAACGTGGGCACCTCACTCACTATGAAGCTGACCAAAGTCCAGCCGCAACAACAAGCAGCAGCGCGGGGTTCCATGCCCAACAACAAGGCCAAAGTGGCCAAGGAGATGCTCGCCCTACAGCGGTCTCACATCGAATCCGAGGTTCTAAGCAACTTTGTAACCGAGGTCGCAAAGCTGAAGCGCCGGAAGTCGCGCTATGCGCCCGGGAATCTTGCAACTCAGGCATCAGGCGGAGAGCTGTCGCGCAGCTTAAACGCCCCCTCAAAACACGAACAAAAATCTCGCAAGGTGGCGCTCAAGCGCAGCAAGAGCATTCCCGCTCCTTTTCTAGACTCGGACGACGACTGGCAGGATGACGATATCGAGAGCGGCATAAAAAACTGCAGGCCACGAGGACGCTCAATGGCCTTTGATAATGGCGAGCGGTTGGCTGAGCTGAATGTGGAAGACAGCAACAGCAGTCCTCTGGAACCAATCCTCACTCGCTGCCGATCCCGCAGCAAAACCCTCTCCCTGAGCAACAGCTGGAGCAACGACGAGAAAGCACCGAGGCGAAAAAACTTACGCAACGAGAACGATGAGTTCGCCAAAAAGAACAGTGCTTTTCTTGATCTCGTCTTGCACGATGACCAGGGATCGGAGCTGATGCTGAATATCACTGGTGAAGACGAGGGCGATGCCGATGGCGACGTCGACATGGGATGGCCCAGCGGCGAGCTGGAGGCCAACAGCTCGCTCTTCTCAGCCAAAACCCAGGAGGAGGAGGCGGCCGAGCGACTGCGTCTCATCTGGCAGGAGCCTCCCATGGTGAGTGTTTCCAATAAAATCTTTGAAGTTCAGTTCAGCATCCCAAATATCCTAGAATTTTAAACAGCGTAATCTTCATAAATTGTATCACTTAGAATGTATACCTTTGAATTTCAGTACCTTTTCATAAAGATTTCACATAATTTGATCAACAAATAAGAACATATATAACGTTTATACATTTATTTATTTGTATACAAATTTACCTATTTGTATTAGTCATAGCGATTCGTATATTATCAAACCCCTCTTAGGTTGAGATGAACATGTATATATAGAGTCGTTTGTATGTCTATTTATAAATCAATGGTGATGATTTGTTTAAGATTTGAGTGCCCTTTCCGGCCAAATAAATTATAAAATACATTTTTCGTCATTTTAAAGCCCTACTAATGTTTTGCAATTCTCCATTATAGACTGGCTGGGACCCTTTCTGCTGGAAGTGCCGGGAGTGCGGCAAGCTGATGCCCTGCTCCAAGTGCCTGCGGTCCTTCCACACATACTGCGTGCGACCCGCCACCACTAAGTTCGACTCCTCATGGAAGTGCCCCGAATGTCAGGTGATCGAGGCAGCGCCCAAGAGGTGACCTTCTAACATTCCCGTATAAGCAGAACTCGTTGGTAAAACGATTTTTGTATATTCCAGGTTGCGGCGTAATGGTGTTTCCGTGGATCTTCTCAGCCAGCTGCTCTCCTTCGCCCTGGACCGCATGAAGCATGTGCGCGGGGTGAGTGATTATACTAATTTTGGGGGCCATTAATATCCCATCAGTTTTGTATGTACTGCCCCTTGTCGAGATTTCATTAGCTTCTCACACGTCGCTCACTGTTCAAAAAGTCACGCGAAAGTATTGTGCGGTCAAAGTAATAGCACAATAGCGATTTATCATCAATATCATATTGATTAATCATGGATGCAAACTCAAAATGTTACCCCCAAAATCAAGCATAAAAGCTTTCCTAATTAATTAGAGGCATCGTTATTGCATTTAAGGGTGCCATTTTTGTGCCCGCAGCTGAAATTGATATGGATTGCGGGTCTGTGCTTTTGCGCTCTTTGCCGCCTCCACTCGCTTCCACTGCAGACCCAGTTTTTTCTCTTGCTCAGTATTCCCAGCAGATAGACACCTGAAATGTCTCGCTGACTCGCTGGGTTATTGGGTTCCAAGTTCACTTTGCGGTCCCTTGACCCTTCGGCTACAGCTCCACATCTCGCCATCCGCCACTAGCTCCACTTCATCGGAGCTGTTTAACGGCTCACGTGGTTTATTTCTCTGCGTTTACTTATCTGCCAGTCGACTGCGATGGTCAAAGGCCTGCTTGTGTGGCTAATGGATGACTGGGCTTGTGTTTGTGAGGGCCTCGTGTACATGATAATGAGGTTTAATGGTTTGAGCTACGCAAATGGTTTGTTCAATTCTGAGATGGGGCTACATTGAAGGTTAATTTACAAATAATTACATCGTAGAATTATGAATGTTCTTCAAAAACTGATATTTTACTTATTATTTATTTCCAAGAGAATGAGAATAAAATATATAAATATAACGAATAGACTTTAACTATTATTCTGCAAAGCTTAATAACACAAAATAACTTAGCAGTTGACATGGTTTCATGTATTAATCCATGATGTAATAGTGGCTCTGCTTCGTTTAATTAAGATTTTTATTATACCCATTTTATGTGCGGACATGAGTCAAATTTTGTTTTCCTGTCTATAAAGAAATATGCTTGCGAATGATAAAATAAATTAATTAATAAGTTTATTATTATTGGCGCTTGGCCAGTAACCAACCAGACCAAGCTGAATAGCTAAACAAAATAGCTCCCGCTTACAGTCGTACCATGTACCATGTTTTGTTTTTTGATTTCATCTACAAGAAGGCAGACATAATTGAAGTACAAGAAAAGCAAAAAAATCTAGACAACAACATACATTCTGCAGTTCCTTAAAATATTTTTAATAATATGATGTATAATCATGATTTTGGAAATATTTACACGGAATGGAATGGAATTTTTTTTAATTGGCTTACAGAGTAGCAGGTATTGGATAATCGTGCCAGTCGACCATAACGTTCCTTCTTGATTGTTGACTATACATAATCTCTGGTTTCTATTGATACCGAGTTTGGCGTATATGTAAACTCCAGAAGCAGGAAGACGAGAAAGGAGCAACAGCAAATAGCAATAATTTATATTTGCTCGGCTCGTTCTCATTCTCATTTCCTGCCTTGCCGCCTGACCTCTTTCTCCATCCCTCGCGTTAAGGCCTGGGCATACATATGCATTGCCCACGTATATATTTGGGGGACAAGCGAGAACTTGTTTTCAGCCGATAGAAACTCGTGGAACGAACGCTCTCTTCGCCGCGCGAGATGAATTCGCCACCGTCACTTATGCACCCCTCTCCCCTTTCGAATTCATCTTCATCCGCAGGCCCACAAGCTCCGTTCGCCGCAAGAGGTCTTCCCGCTGACGTACAAGAAGTACTTTGTGAACCCGGTGAGTTTCGACAGTCTGGCGCAGTGCATCCGTAGGGGGGCTTATCAGAGCACCGAGGAGTTTCTCTGCGAGGTCAAGTGGATCCAGCACAACGCTCTCATCCTGGACGCCGGCGGTGAGTTTATGATCATTAATGAATTGATTTGGGTGGATGCTTTTTCTAATTGCCTGAAAAGCTTTTGCTTGTTGCGGCAAAATAAAAAACTCGTTAAAAGTTAGCTTATTAAAGGGAAATAATTTATTTACTTACGTATATTTTTGCCTCTATCATCCAAACAATTTTGTTTTTTAACAATTGAAAATTTGAGTTAAAGTTATTATTCCGATTTAATTATCTATACTGGCTAATTAATTCCAACCCTGAAATCTATAATTGAATTATTCACTCAAACATATTCTGATTAATGACTCATTTGTTGCAGATGCCAAAGTGGAACAGGCTTCAAAGGCCGTAGTAAAGGTGTGCCGGCAGGAGGCCAATGAAATCGACACCTGTCCAGAGTGCTACTTGAACGCCAACTCCAGCGACGAGTGGTTTGTGAAGGTGTGCCGGCATCCGCATCTCTTGCTCTGGGCCAAGCTGAAGGGATTTCCCTACTGGCCCGCCAAGGCGATGGGCTCATCGACCTCAGCGCTGGTCAATGTTCGCTTCTTTGGCAAACACGATCGAGCTTTTGTGCCTGTAAAGGACTGCTTCCTGTACTCGGCTCAGAATCCGAACACACAAACCAGCAGGAGATCAGCAAGGGATTTGGCGGAATGTATTCGGGAGGTTGAGGTGCACATCGACCACATCAAGCGCAAGATTGGCGCCTTCAATTACGCAGCTTATCGCACCGCGTACGATCCGCTGGAAGAGCAACAGCAGCTGGAGCAGATGATGCCCGGCGTGTATGCGGCCATCGATCGGGAACTTGAGCCGGCCAATAAAACGCCCCTGCAGTTCCTCATCCGCAAGACGGCGGGCGATAAGCTGTCGATAGTGAAGAAAACCAAGACCACGGAGTCGGGCAACGAATCAGATCAGTCGCCCAGCCCCTCGAAAAAGCTTCCGGAGGTTGACAGTGTTCCGTTATTAGGGCCGGGATCCAGCGAGCATTCCAAGCTCAAGAGCAACAACTATGAGGTTATATCCAGATCTGGTGAATCTCTGACTGACTCTCGATGCAAAGTGCTGCTCAAAAGAAAATCTCTGGCTGCCAAGACAAATTCGGAGACTGTGGAAGCTCCGGAAGCCATTGCCACCAAACGAAAGCATTCTCTGAGCGATGCCAGCTTTACCAGCGAATCCAGCGACCATAAACGGAAGTCAAAGCATGCCAGGAAACAACAAGATCAAGATAAGCAAGTTGGAGGGCAAGGAAAAGCAACCGAACCCTCCGAGGCTCCGAACAGTTTGGCACAGGAAAATAAATCACGAGATCCAGAGTCGGCCAAAGACTCTTCTGTAAAAGAAAATATTAACACTTCAACAGGAACTTCATCTGCCACTGTTGTTTCTGTGATGGAGTTGGTACAGCGTCGCCAGGGCGTCACCATCACCAAGATCCCACGCGAACAGCAGCAGGGGGCGGTCTCAGAAGACCTGGCAGCCGTTACAGCTCTTCCTCCAAGCGCTCCCCCGTCCACAGCTACACCTCCTCCTCCGACTTCGGTAACCAAGCAGATTTCTTCAAAACGAGTTGATACAACGAACCCAAAACAATCTGAGGTTGAGAAACAGCAGCAGCAACTTATCAAGAAAGTTATTCCATTTATTGAAATTAAAACGGAAGTCATGTCGGAAGCAGAAGAAGATGAAATAGAAACTAGGCCATCGGCTACACAGCCTTTAACTGAGCAACTTCCCATGCAGCAGGAGCCGAGTCAGAGGATCAGGGTGCAGCAAGAACCTGTCCCTGTGCCGGCTCCCCAACCCGAACCAATTGAACATCCAATTCTTGAGGTAGTCAAAATCAAGGAGGAGATTCTCAGTGAGGATGAAATGGAAATAGATCAGAACAATATTAGTCAACGGTTTGAAACAATGCCACCCATGCCACTGCCTATGCCCCCGCCTCCTCCCTTGCCGCCACGAGAAGAGACTCCCGCCACAAATGACCTGGTTCGATTTGTAGGCGATACCACCATCCAGAGGGTGACCCACAAGCAGGGAGTTAAAACAACGGACACAGCCGCAAAACGAAAGGGCGCGCAACATAATGTCCTGCCAGCTGTTCCCCAGGTATCCTCTCCGGCTCACTCGCCAGTCCAAGCATCCGCACCATCTCCTTCGGCCTCCCCAAAGCCAATTACCCCGTTTGTGGGCAGCAAGCCAGCACCACAGGGAAATTCATTCAAGGGGAAGTCACCGTCACAACAGCAATCCCGGGTTAAAACAGACCGTGCACCGAATCCGTCTTCCCCACCAGGAACGGCACCTGCCACCACCACGTCGTCTTTGCTCCGATCCAACATGGTGGTGATTCCTGTTGAGCAGGCGGGCATCTGCAATCCGCACAGTCCCATGACGATCCCGATTCCACCGTTGAGAGCAGTTTCCAAAAGCACGCTCCAAAATACTTCAACGCTTCCAACGCACTCTCCCGTTCCGTCGACTTGCCAACCCATTAGCTCTGTATCAATGCCGCCGCCATTAGCCGGCTTGAGTATTCCTCAAATAGCCATCCCCACAACACAAGAGCCCACGGTAAACAGTGGAGAGCAGGTTGGACTGCTGGCTAGCGCTTTGAACGGACTAGCAAGCGAATCTGTCCCTAGTGAGCCTATCCCTAATGAGCCCATAACATCGGGCCTGGCCACGGCTTGGAGTGAGTTGCTCCTGCGCTCCGGTGCACCAAAGCTGGTGGCTCGTCCTTGCGGGCCACTCCGGTCGGATGGCTCCCAGATCTACCCCTCTCAAGCTGGGCCCGTCTCGCAAAAACTTAAGGAGAATGCGCACAAGGTATGTTTGTTTGTAAACATTATTTTGTTAAGGTTTTTTATATTTCCGCTATTGGCACCCGCAGATCACGGACTACTTCATCTCTGTCATAGAGGACACGCTCAGCGACATGGCCACAGGAGATCAAAGCGTCCTACAGGCCCGAATCGCCGGCCTGTCACTGGAGAACGAGCGCCTGAAGCAGCACTACGACCGCCAGATGAGCGACTTGCAGCGCACTAGCGAACTTATGATCGCCGAAATGCGTAAGACATTGGAGCAGGAGCACAAGCGCGTGATCAGCGATCTGCGCCAGCAAAACGCCCTCGAGCGGATACGGGCGGTCGACGAGGCGAAGAAGAAGCAGTGGTGCGCAAATTGCATGCGGGAGGCACAACTGTACTGTTGCTGGAACACCTCTTACTGCGATTATCCCTGCCAGCAGATGCACTGGCCCAGACACTCGGCCTCCTGTGGTCAAGCGGTCCAGGTGCCACTCGCAACTCCAGTTCCACCTGCAGCCTCCGCTCCCGTAATCGAACCTGGCCGATCCAAATCCAAAGCAGCAATGCCCACAGCGACACCACCATCAGCCAGTCCCAGTCCCAGCTCCCAAATAACTCGAACAGCGACCGTCTGTACACCTGCTGCTCCTGTTGCCAGCGTACCGAGCTCTAAGAAGTGGCCGCCCATGATGACGTTAATTAACCAGCCGAATTCGGATGCCGTGCTAAAGCTGCCCGCCACTACATATCTGCGGCAAGTTGTCACGACGCCGATGTCAGCTACGGTGACGACTTCACCACCTGTTAATAACAACAGCAGCAGCAATAACGTAATTATGACACCCTCACCATCGACGGGAAATCACATGGCCAATCTCTTGCCCGCTCAGCGGAATCTCCCCCACTTTAACCCCAAACCCGCCAGCCAGACGATGCCTGTGCAGCGCTTTAATATACCCGTAAGTTATTTGTAAACAAGTACTGCGAACAAGCTAATTCACTTTTTGTTTGTTTATTAGTTACCCATCACCGTGAGCACGAATGCGGCCTTTCTAATGGCCGAGCAGCATCAGAAGCAGTTACCAAAAGCAACTGGTCGCAACTCTTCAAAAAACAACAGCCGAATGCGCCAAATTTACAGCAGCAATACCAGCAGTAGTACCAGCCACAGCAATCCGCAGGTTATGCGCCAGAATCAAATGAGTCAATTGTTCCACCCATAAAGAGAGACTGCCTGTAATTCAGGAAACAATTTCTTTGATATTCCGAAGAAACTCAGAAACAGATTCATTAAATTGAACGATCACCAAACATCAACTTGAACTTTACATACATATTTAACTTAATTCCCTCACGCGCAGCTATGGACGGTAATTTGTTTTTAGATTAAGAGACCCCAAATTGAACACCGCTAAAAGACGAAAGTGTAAAGAAATATTACCATTTACTAATTAGGTTAAGGATATAGATTTTGATGTATGTTATTGTAGTCCCGCTGGTTTTACTGTAACTTAACCATCTAGTAAGTAAGAACGATTGTGAAGCCATGAGATGGACTTTTGCACGAACTTAGCGACTAGTAGTCCATAAGATCATCCCACTTTTCATTTAAAGCATACTGTAAATTGTTTCTATCATATATTTTCCATACATTTTATGTATATTTAAAGCAAAGCTACAAAGTGAATTAAGAATAAACAATAAATTACATTTTTGGCCAGTGGCAAAGTTCTCTGCTTGAGGCAACGCCATTAGGCCGAACACACTTTTCCCTAGATAAATTTAGAGATTTCTGTATTCTATACTCCAGACGACCAGAAACGTTGATGCCGTCTGAACGGCACTTGATTGGAGATGTGCGCGTGTCATCCTTTTTTGGCTCGCCCCATGCAAACATAATTGACTTTCGTGCCTGACGTGCCTAATTCGTGACACGAACAAAAAAACAATGGGTTTGCCCACCTCTAGTTTCAGCTAAGTTGGAAACTAACGGTAGCCTTCCAATGGAAGTCCGCTGTGTGGCGGCCATTATGAAAAGAACAGCTGATCGGTCGACACTTGCTCATATTGCTGGTCACTTTTTGAGGTTTCTGTTCGCCTGGTACTTCAAAATCAGGAATTGACAATTTCTATGGGAAATACTTGATTTGTTGATTCCGTTTAGACGGGCCAAATGTATATTTTCCCATTTAAAGCACCAAGCGAACATAATCGCTAGTAGGACTTTCGGTGAAATAAATTTTTAAACGGCAGCATTCACATTCTAGGAATTTTGGTCGCCTGGTGTCAAAAATCGGCTTTTTGATCAGCTTGGGTTTGAGTTGTGGCACATTTTGTCGGTCAAATTGGGAGATTTCTCGAGTTGAAACACCAGGCAAACAGAAGTTACAGTAAGTTGCTGCAAGAACCAGCAGCCCCGAAATGTAGGCAATATTAAATGCTAATGCCGGAGGCGACACCTGGTGGGAATATTTATATGCGTTAGGATCGGCTGCCCAAAAGTATGCAACACGTTTAAAGTGTAACGAAAGTAGCTACAGCCGAAAAGCATGCTACGTAAAGTTTAGATTTAGTCCTTATTATGACCGGTTGCCCAAAAATATGAAACACTTTTAAAGTGAAACGAAAGTTGCTGCATCCGAATTCGTAATTTGGATATGAATTTGGTAACTCTTTCCCCTATGATAAAATCATGATTATAAATGTAACTTTAAACTTTTATTAGGCAATCAACCACCTGTGAAACAACAACAATTTATATATACTGATTGGCTCAATCAATGTCCAACTTCTTAAAGTTTCCCTCAATGCCGAAAAGGTCTGAGGCATTTTTGGCCTTGCCGGGTCGCAGTTTTTCGTTGACCTGATGACGCGTCTCAAACTCTAAAAATTCCTCTCGATTATCGAGCAACTTTTTGTAGTAAATTTCTGCGAAAATAAAAGATCTTTTTTATTTATTATGATTTATTATAAATTGAGGCTTTTAACCCACCTTTGGCCAAGCTTGTCTCCTCCACTTGACCGTCGTATTCCTTTGGAAGCATATCCTTTGGCACAAACTTGTAGAATTCGTTCAAGTCGCTGTGCATGTGCAGTACAGTGGACAGCTCTTTTTTCATAAACGGAGTCATTAGCGCCAAAATCTTGTCCATGAAAGGTACAATATTAATGAAGTGAAAGCCTATCAGCCTGATGGCAGCCGCTTCCTAAAAAAATCAGATAGGGACAATCCTTCATTAAATTAAAATTTTGTTTATTTACCTGCAGATAAAATAGAAACTTCTTCATTTGCAGAAGGCCTATGCGAGCAACGTGACCTAAGGAAGTACCTTTCAGATCGATCACGATCAAATGCCCCGGCTGAATGCCATCTTCATACATCCAAAAATCGAATACCATGCAATATCTGAAAGTAAAAATATTATATATATATAATCTTATTTCCAATAGAAGTCACAAAACTTGATGAAAACCTGAGAACTAAAAGAAAATATCCTATTTTTTCCTGAGTGCATCCCCCTGAACTGCACCCTTGTCTGTCAATGTGCTTAATTGTAATCTCTTAATTGTCTGCCATTATACAGCAGATAATAATGATCGTTATAAACATACAGTGGTTGATGATCTGTGAGTGCCTGAAAATTAAGGCAAAGTATCTGAGTATATATGTATTCGGAATGGCAAAATGTGCCGTGCATGCTTTCACATTAAGTTTGAGGTTTCAGTTCGGGCTAGCACACTGTTCACTTAAAACAATTTGGCCCTTCAATCTCTTCGTGCTCTGTGTGCCTTGTCATAATCACGCCACTAATGACGTGAAAATTGCGCTCAACTGACAATAATAAATAAAAGTTTAGGTAAACATGTAATGTCAAGTTTTATATAACTATTTCTCTTTGCGCATGTTTATGAAGCAAGCTTTTTAGTCTGATCGGCCTATCGTAATATTCCGCTCTTTTGTAACTAACAATGTTAACAAAAGAAAGTTAATGAACGTTCTTAATTCTCCTGTTTTTTTTTTTATTGTTAATATGCCTATAATATCGATTCATTGTTTGTCCTAATTTTCGCATGTACTCACAGTTTCATAACATCTGCAAAGTTATAGTTAGACGTGTTCAAGTCATCCAGCTTTGCTAGAATCACTCGATATCCTTCGGGAGTGGCACCTGGTAGAGGAACAATAGATCTGAAAATAAGTAAAGTGATGTATTAAAACAGCTGTCAACTAAAAAAGGTTAATTCAAAAATGAATCGAGGTCAGGGTGCAACCCACACGGTTCTCATGGCGCGCCTGATCTCGGGCCGCTCGCAGTCGAGATTGACGAAGAACTCATCTAGGTGGGTACGGGCCGTGAGATTGGTGTCCAGGACCTGCTTGGCCACCTCCATACTGTAGCGGCAGGCGTGAAAGAAGTGCAGGGCCTCGCCCTCCGAAAATCTATCCGAGATGTGCGGTTGAGCGTGGATCCAGTCGACAAACTTCAGAACCTCCGATCTCTTGATCTCCGGAAAGTTGTCATACTGATCGTCCAAAGCGGCCTCCTTCATTTCGCGTGGCTGCACTGGGATTTACTTTTGATTATTGCGCTGCTTGGCCCGAAACGACTTTCAGCGCGGTCTACTCTCGAATGAAATGGAAATGGAAGCTGTTTGCTTTCGCAAGTAAAACTGGTTGGCGTTGGCCCGCTGACTTGGCGAATTCGGCATGCAATTGCAAGTGCTCGGGATCGGGATCGGGAATGGAGGTTTTTCGGCGGGGAACTGGCATGTGTTGGCTGGCCGAATCGCAGACAGTACCCGACCCGCCCATCATCTCCTTCATTGTTCAGGAAAAACTAGCAACTGGCACTCGTCGGTCACACAGAAAGAAATAGCAGTGATTTTGCATGATAAAATACAATTATTAAATAACAATTTGGAGTTAAAAAGGGGCAACCTGCAATTAAAACTTGATCAAATATTATTTGTTAATACTTTTCATTTCTTGTATTATTAAATTTCATAGGCGCGATTTCATATTCAAGTTTGTTTTCTGTGCATTTGTCATCGGTTTATTTCACTTCCATCAGGCTGCGTGAAAATTCATTTTTTTACCCGCCCGTAAGTGGCGTACGGCTATTATTAATTTTTTTTCTCTCTCTTCGGGATTGCATAACATGTGATCAAGTGATTGGGCGACCGATCCATGACGAGGGGCCTGTTATTATTATTTCGCTTGGCGTGTGCTCGGGAGATCGAAAGATTTCTGCTCCTTCATCAAATCCAAACTATAACGCTTGACTGGCGAAAGGAAATTATGTTTGTATATAAACAGCTAAATGAAGATTAAAGATAGGGAAAGATTTGATAAGTGCTGCGGCTTACGTGGCGTATACATAATATTCATGAATTTCAGTTATAAAATGGCGAAATTTAAGGTGTTAAGATAAGAAATAAACGAACAAAACTAGTTGCACAATAATTTACGAAATTAAAAGAATCCTTCTGCCAAATAAGATGTCACAATTCATGCAAGCACTTGAAGCAACTTCGTCTTCGACTATCCGCGAAGTCTAGTTACCACAACCGGCCTCATTTCCGCGGCAGCACACACTTGACATTTTGCCAACAGCAGACACCAGCCAGCCATTCAGCCACTCAGCTGGGCAGAAATCAAAGCCAGGCCAGGCCAAGTGTGCAACCTGGCTAGGCAGCCTGTGGCTGCAGCTTTAACCAAACACTTCGAAAACTATTGTTCACATCCAATCAAAATTAACCTTTTATCTTTATGCAAAATCAACTCAGAAATAAAAAATATACAATTTTTTATGTATAAGTTTGGTTTTAATTAATTCCTGGAAATTGATTCTTAGTGAAATGTGTAACTTAGTTAACATTCGACCTACATCCAATCAGAGACAAAGAAATCTCTGTTAAATCACTGTACGGCAAGTTGAAGTTTAATACCTGCAGCTGTTAGAAAAATTAAATATTCTATAAATCTTCATTAATAAAAGGCCCTTTTTCGATAGTATCATCCAAATAGCTTTAAAACTGATGGACTAGTTTGCGTAAAACGCTAATATAGATGCTTGTGGTGCTGACCTCCTTCGCTGTGTTGCGAACTTTTTACTGCAATTATAATTATTAACCCTCTGCAAAGATATACAAATATCTTAATCTGTGCATACAAATTCGTAAATCACAATTTTTTCCAGTGTCCGTGGCATGTTTCGCTCAGTTGAAACAGCCGGTCCACCACTTTGGCGTGTTTGAAATTCCAAACGGATTAGCCGCGCGCAAATAGCAAACGGCAAACTGCAAATGTTTGCGCTGCCAATGGCAACCAGTTTGTGAGCCCGAGGAGTTCAGCCCCGGTGTTCCAAAGGGGATCTACGGGAGGAGGTGTGGACTACTGCTTTATTTTGGCCCACTGGGGGCAGGTGTCATGGTGTCCGCCGCAAGTGTCAAACTAGGTGCCAATCCGAAATTAATTATACATATACCCCAAAGTCCGAGCTTGAATCGAAGTTCGACTTGCTCTTGGGGGTCAGTTGCACCTGTGGCAAGAGAAATGTCATCAAAGAGTTCAATTTGGAACTGCGACTGTGCTCATACATATGTTATTTAAATAATACAAGATCAAATGGTTTTCTTATTAAAATACTTTGGGATGAAGCTCTCGAGTAAAAGTCTAAGCTGTAGATAATTTGTAGCATTTCTTATAATTTAAATCCAAAATTACAAATATTACGAAAGGTATTACACAGTATTTCCACAACTGTGGAATTTCTGGCAGAAACTATCCTTCATTTGTAGCCAACACAATATTTGCTATGTGCTAGCACGCACCACCGACTGAACAACAGACAGACATCATTTTTTGCAATGGTGACCCAAAAAATTCAATCGCAGGAATGCTTGCATGCTAATCGCGGATCAGGTCTCTGTCCGCACCGATGATGATAATGATGGTCACATGGTGGTGACAACATCGTTTGGCGACGTGCGTTCGTTTTATGTTGCCGCCATGCATCGAGTCCTACGAGTAAGTCGCCTTTTTGAGGTCGACCTCTCCTACCTCCTTGGAACACCGCCCAGTTTCTTCGACCGTTTCTTCTGCTTCTCCTCAAGCTGTGGTTTTTATTTGTGCCCTGTCCATTTTTCATGCATTTGACTGCATTACTTAACCTCAATTTGGCCGACGACGTGCATCAACTTGCCACACTCCCATTCCCGACAGTGTACCACTCCCCAACCACTCGTTACTCCGCTTTGAGACCAACGGTTGCGTTTCCGTTGGCCACCAGAGCTCCGTTGAACAAATAAAGTTGTCGCGTCGGCTGCCACCAATTTACATACTCCCCCTGCCACCTGGTTCCCCTTTCGGGGAGAGCGGATCCTGTCCAGCTCCGGTAGTCCATTTCAATTGTCGATCGATCGCTCACCCTGACTCATTTTTACACTGACAAATTCAAATTGTTTAAACTTGGTTTGTATTTTGGGGCAGAAAAAAGGCCTTTAAAGCCCACAACTTTTTTTGCAGACATCCGATTTCAAAGTGGCATACTTCTAAATGATTGTGGTTTAATTCCCCAAAAATCTGCGTTTTCAACTTCATTTGTATTTTTGGGTCGATTTTTCATCATTTTTATAGTGTTACCCATTTCCAAATTTTCGAAAAATGGCTTTGTTGAAAAGCCACATAAAACCGGCACTTCTAAGCCCATAACTTTTCTAACAGACATCATTCCAAATGATTGTGGTTTAATTCTCTAAAAATCTGTGTTTTCAGTTTGTTTTGTATTTTGGGGTCGATTTTCCGTCATTTTAATGATGTTACCCCTTTCCAAATTTTCGAAAAATGGCTTTGCAGAAAAGTTAGAAGTATGCCAATTTAAAATTGAATGTCTGTAAGAAAAGTTATGGGAATAGAAGTGCAGGTTTTGAGCCACTTTTCTGCAGAGCCAATATTTTGAAAAATTGGAAAGGGGTAAGTAACACTATAAAAATGAAAAAAATTCGACCCAAAAATACAAACGAAGTTGAAAACGCAGATTTTTGGGGAATCAAACCACAATTATTGAGAAGTATGCCACTTTGAAATCGGATGTCTGTAAGAAAAGTTATGGGCTTAGAAGTGCATTTCTAAGGCCACTTTTCTGCAAAACCATTTTTCGAAAATTTGGAAAGGGGTAACACTATAAAAATGATGAAAAATCGACCCAAAAATACAAACGAAGTTGAAAACGCAGATTTTTTGGGAATCAAACCACAATCATTTAGAAGTATGCCACTTTGAAATCGGATGTCTGTAAGAAAAGTTATGGGCTTAGGAGTGCAGGTTCTAGGCCACTTTTCTGCAAAGCCATTTTTCGAAAATTTCGATGAAAAATCGATCCAAATATACAAACGAAATTGAAACGCAGATTTTTGGGGAATCAAACCACAATCATTTATAAGTATGTAACTTTGAAATCGGATGTCTGTAAGAAAAGTTATGGGCTTAGAAGTGCAGGTTCTAGGCCACTTTTCTGCAAAGCCATTTTTCGAAAATTTGGAAAGGGGTAACACTATAAAAATGATGAAAAATCGACCCAAAAATACAAACGAATTTGAAAACGCAGATTTTTTGGGAATCAAACCACAATCATTTAGAAGTATGCTACTTTGAAATTGAATGTCTGTAAGAAAAGTTATGGGCATATAAGTGCAGGTTTTAGGCCACTTTTCTGCAAAGCCATTTTTCGAAAATTTGGAAAGGGGTAACAAATACACACGAATTTGAAAATGCAGATTTTTTGGGAATCAAACCACAATCATTTAGAAGTATGCCACTTCGAAATTGAATGTCTGTAGGAAAAGTTATGGGCTTAGAAGTGCAGGTTTTAGGCCACTTTTCTGCAAAGCCATTTTTCGAAAATTTGGAAAGGGGTATGGAGACTTTGAATTTGTTCAATGCTCTCTATTTATAATTAAGCAGGTTTGATTTTCAGTTATAGAGTTTTGAAGTAAAGAAGTTTGACAATATATTTTGAATGTTATAGCATTGTTTTTAATAAAGCTGTGAATATAAAAGGTTTGCTTTCACAGTGCATGGGCTTCCCTGGCACCTCGTGGTCTTAAATCTGCCGTAGTAATTGGGTTGGCGACTGGGATCGGGTGGGTAGGGGCCTCCTATCCATCCACACGTTCCTCGCTCGCCGG